AATAGATAGTTGCCGATTCTCAGACCTACTGAATACTCATATAAAATTTGGTAAAAATCGGTAAAGCCGTTTCGGAGGAGTACGGTAACAAACATTGTGACATGGAAATTTTATATATAAGATATATAAATTAAATTTAATGGTATAATTTGTTATGTAAAAAACAAAAAATCTCGAAAAATTGAGGTAGGAATGAACGAAATATAATGAAAATAATTATATTCTATGCTTATTTACTTCTGACAATATCCCTCGGGTGGCAGCCAGAAAGAACAGTGTTTAGCGCGACGATCTCTACATACTATAAGTCTAAAGATTTCATTGTCTTCCAATTCTCTATCTGTTATTTAAACGTGTTAGTTTCACGTGTTGTGAGAGTATTTGTCCCTCAATATATATTTGCATTGGGAGTTCAGTAAATAGTATTAAATATATGACGCTAATTTATTTATAAAATGTTCCCTACTCAACACACGCGTACACGTGACTTCCAGTGCGCAGTAACTGGCTGTCTACACTTAAACGTCTCGCTCATATATAAAACCGCTGACACGACAACATTCATACATACATTGGCCGTACAGTGTCACTAAGTATTCAATCAAATCTTGTAGGTTTATTTTAACCTAACTCGAATGCTAATAATAATACAGTAAAGTGAACTAATCAGATGATAGAGCTTGAGTTCGATCTACTATGTTGGGACATTTTAACACACAGCACCATCTAGTTCCATGGCAAGCTACGAGGCTTGTGTTATGGATACCAGATAGTTGATACACTACACATATATAAACTTTAAATACATACATATTATAAATATAAACACCCATGACTGAAGTACAAGCAATCGTGCTCATCACACAAATGCCCCAGCGGGTTTCGAACCCGCTGCCGCTAGCACAGCAAGTAGAGTCGCTGCAAACTGAGCCAAAATTGTCGTCGTTTTGTCACGTTTTTTTTAGATTTAAACAAACACGCAAAATCAGCCGTAATCTATAAATAGACAAAACTTAATTTTCTTTGTTTACCAACTGGAGGTCAATTCTGAAAGAAAGTTTAAACAATTCGACGTATTCCAACATACTTCATATACATAGTTGAATGAAATGTAAATGCGGATTCAGTTGTCGTACTACATGAAAGTTTTTTCAGGACAGGTCTCTTGTTTTGAAATATTTTTATTAACCAAAATATTAAAAATAATAGTTTTTATTATAAAATTGGTCATTTTTTGATATTATTAAAATAATGGGTACTTACCTTCCACTCAGGGTTTTCTGTTAGTCGATTGGTCACCACACACCCCGCCGATCCGGCACCTACCACTATAAAGTCGTATTTATTCGGTTTCTCCTCATCTCTCCGCTCCTCACATTTCCTCTGAATCCTCTCGTCCTTGGAACCTCCGTACAGATGGACCAGGAGGTTGAGATATACGTATGCAAAAGGAGAACAACCAATGACCGGTGAGTGGGGAGGACAAGCTTCGGACAGATTTAGTGGCTGCCAGATCATGTTTCTTTCTATCTTTAAAATAATATTTCAAATAAAACTATAGTAGTAGCGAGTCCGATTGAGAAAGGATTACAATATACAAGTTTATACAAATATTTTTCTTATACAAGGAGAACCCACTTATAACTTTTCGTGATGAAATCGATTTTTTTATTTTTATTGAACTAAAATATTTAAATGATCTAAGTAAATTACCACGCTGCCGTATTAGAGCCTTATTTTTTTTTAATAAAAAGCCTAATATTATAAGTTTTATAAAACAATATCGCAATAAGGATATTCGCATACATACCATATGCTGTTGCCGCCTATTGCCGACTGCACTGCATGTGTGCTACAGGTAGGGTATTTAAAAAGTGATAATCAGTAATTTCCAGTTTCCGTTATTTTATTAGGGTCTTAAGATATATTTTTTATTTAGTATTTTTGATGCATTTTAAAATAAATTTAAACATATTTAGTTCATTGTTACATTGATACGTTTAGTATGGAATAGATAAACTATATGTGTATTATAGTACTGCTCCGCTCCCTTGAGTAGTAGCATAATGATATATAGCCTATAGTATGTAATGCAAATTTTTTTTGAAATTAGATTAATAGTTCTTGAGATTAGTGCGTTCAAAGAGAGAGAAAAAGAAAGAAATAAACAAACAAACTCTGCCTCTTTATATATCAACTACCCAATTCTTTAAACTATACTCTACACACCTATCATGGGGCATATAGATTAGGGCTGCCAACATTTCTTTGACAAAAAAAAAGCAGGACAAAAAAAATAGACAAAGATATATTTGTTACTTATTTATTTTTATAAAGACTATGTTTTTTTGCATTTCTTAACATTTTTTGGTCTACTACTACTTCTGTTTCTTTCTAAGAACCACCGCAAGGAAACTGGCTTTCAAATTAAAAAAACCGCATCGAAATCGGTCCATCCGTGTCCATTTTGGTGTTGAAAATATAGTATTTTTGCGTATTATATTTTTCTTTAACAGTATATGTATAGTACGCAGACCCGAAATATAGTACAATCTATACTATTACATTATTATAAAGAGGTAAAGTTTGTGAATTGTGAGTTTGTGACGTAGGTGGTAATATCTTTATCTACTAAACCGATTTAGATGAAATTTGGTAAGAAGATAGTTTGAGACCCTGGGAAGGACAGGGTTACTTTTTATTTCGGAAATCATCCCTTATGGGGGTGAAAATAGGCATGAAAGTTTGTATTGGAAAGCAAGATAGGGACGAACCCTATCGAAGCGAGGGTGAGTCGCTAGTACTATATATTATAGTACGGTTGGCAACCCTTTTTTTTTAACGTTGGGAAATGCATTTACGCATGACATGTGGGACTCACCGGTGTAATACAGCCAGTACTACCCACTAAAACCCAACAAAACCTTCCCCCGTCTTAATGGGGCGTCGCAGGATAGCTTACGCATTCAACTACGACGCCCCGACGGCAGGTCTGCCGAAGCAGACCACCACAACCATGGGGTTGCTCCACAGTCCACTCTGCTATCAGAGAAGTACCAGTAGCAATCCACATGGTACACCACCCCCGAAGAGGGCCACCTCCCACCGCCCACCGAAGTGGGCAACCTCCCTGTGCGTTTCTTAGCTTCGCGCCCGGTTGGATTGCCGGGCACTACTGAGCCCCCCCACCACGACAAGGTGAACGCACGTTGGGGGGGACGGTTGGCAACCCTAATATAGATACTTGTTGCAGTTTAAAGTTTAATTAGCCTGAATATTGTATCTTTGATATAAATAAAACTGCATTTCTTTTGGAAGCAATTAACAAATTGTAATATTATCAGCATTGCATGGAGTGCTTTTGATAATAATAATTATAAAAAAGTAATTAACCCAGTATATTATTGTTTCTTCTTTATTTTAATAAAATATATACGATAAGCCGAAGTTATTGTTGGTAGTGGTGGTAAAGCGAGCTCGATAGAGTGCAGCCTGCAGGGGGTTGGTCATTTGTTGCTACTCTACTTTGCAGTAAGTTCGTTCCATATTATTTTTTAAAGTGGACAATTATGGTTTTTCGTTTTATTTTGAATGTTTCGTGTTTTCAATATAAACGGTTGTTTGTGATTGCTCGAATTTTGATGATTAATTGAATTATGATTAAAATAAAATCCATTTCGAAATAAAGTTTTTTTAGGTTGTTTAAAATTGTTTTTTTTTAATTTGTTTTTCTCTTCTGATTGCCAAAAATACATATAATCTTTGTTCCTATATAAACTTAAGTTTACTTTAATTAAATGAAAGATACAATTAAATGCGTGAATAAATTAAAGAAATTATAAAAACACGTTTTGGCTAACTAAAATGAATTGAGCCCATTCGACAAAATGAAACAAGACAAATGATCCAATAGCTGTAGCTATTGAAGGACTTACTTTAACTATTTTTATTAAAATTAGTAATTTTGTGCCAAATATCACTTATCATGTTTCATAGCACAGATAATACAATACTGTATGTCTACAGTAGTGGTGTTGTTGTTTTGTTTGATAGCGCTAATCTATGGAAAAGATTTGAAAGATTGAAGTAATTCCACTTTATAACCTACTTAATGGGCAAGGATTCGTAGCTAGCATATTAGTAGGTAAAAGCTAGTATAAATATTCTACATAGAGCTATTTAAATAGCTTAGGAAATGTAATAATAAATAATAAATAAATGTATAAATATTTATAATATGTATGTATTAAAGTTATATACGCGTATCCATAACACAAGCCTCGTAGCTTACCATGGAACTAGATGGCGCTGTGTGTTAATGTCCCAACATATTTATTATTTATTTATTATTATTAATGTTTAATTTTTGCCAACGTCCATACCACATTAACTACACCGGCTCGTCCTATCACCGAAGTTAAGCAAGGTCGGGTGCGGTCAGTACATAAATGGGTGACCGCCTGGGAACACCGCGTGACGTTGGCTTTTTAATATTTTATGAAACAAATTAAAGATTACAGGCGTGAAGCAACAATGTTGATGTTTTTATTAATGTACAGAAAGAAATATAAACACATAAAAGAAACATAATTACAGATCCAAAATGAATTTTATAATGAAATAACAAACAATGCAATTATAACTGATCATAAATGTATGTATAATACTTTCTTAGATTTACGCGAATATTTGACATTTTAAATAAAACTATCTTTTCGGATTTTGTCGCGGATTTATTTGGATTTTTGTTTCCCGACGTTTCGAATGCTTTACAGCATCCAAATAAATCCGCGACAAAATCCGAAAAGATAGTTTTATTTAAAATGTATGTATAATATTTTTTTGCATCATTTTACGTCTTGGAAAGTGTGTCGTTAAAATATTTTTAGGTGTATAAAAAGTTATAAAACCAGACATTGCATTATCTTTAATACAATTAATGAAAATATGAAAGTAAATAAGATTAAAATTTAAAAATCTTAAAGTTATCGCCACAACTAGGTATGATAGTGGTACTGGTCAGTATGTGTCCAATGCTTGATAACGAAGTCGACCCCTCTCTCCCCTATCATGATAGATGGGGCATTGGTGTTCCCTCTCACAACCACCGGCATTATCGACGCATCGATCACTCTCAGACCTTCGACGCCGTACACCCGGAGCTCGTTGTCCACAACAGCCTTCTTGTCACTCTTTGGACCCATTTTGCAAGTTCCCACTGGATGGTATGGAGAGGAAGTATAGGCTTTGGCCAAACATATGTAGTACTCTTCTGTGCCCCACTCGTAATGCTTGCACGCTGGAAGCTTATCTCTTACAAAATATGCTCCGTTCGATTTAAAAGCTTCTGTATTCTCTAGTGACAATAAAAACTTTATACCCTTTAATAGTGGTATGAAATCTCTGTCATCACCGAAGTAGTTTGGATAAATTAATGGTGCCCCATCTGGGTTAGATGAGTTCAATAGAAGTACTCCTCTACTTTTGGGCACAAGATTCATTGTTCTAGGTATTACTCCATCATAAAATGCGGTCGGTAGAATAGAAACTGTTTCAGCTGTTATCGGATCCAAAACATATGATCTCCAACTTGTTGCGTCGTTGACTTGATATTGTATATCAGGAGCGATTAAATAAGGCTCAGTTTTCAAAAACGATACTGAATTGACTGGCCCATTCCCAGATAGCGGTCCTCTTTTAATTTTCATTTTATCGTAATCTTTCACAGCTTCCAATACTTCATCTTCAGTAACCGTTGTTGCCGTTTTGTTTGATAAAGCCACAATAACACCGTTGAATGTGACGTGGTCGTGCAAATTTTCTCCAACTGCTAAATCCTTTATTACAGGAATACCCAAGTCCTCGAGGTGTTTCTTTGGCCCGACGCCTGACAACATTAACAATTTTGGTGAATTTATCGTTCCACCACTGATGATCACTTCTTTTTTTGCGTAAACTGTGTGCTTTTTATTATCTTTTATATAAACTATTCCTTTTGCTTTTTTGTGTTCGTCAAATAAAATTTTTGTTGCTTCAGCGTTAACTTCGACGACGAGATTTTTTCTTTTGCACCTTATAGGTTCTATGAAAGCTGTATTAGTTGAAACTCTTTCGCCATTCTTGGAGAAGGCCTGCGCTTGCATGGTGCCCTCTTGGTGTCGCCCGTTGTAGTCAGTTAGCGGGAGCCCCCCTTGATTGAAAGCATCAGTCAACATGAGAGCAGGTTTGTCTATGTAGGGATATCTCGAAACATATTGTTCGCCACTAACCCCATGGTATTCCGAATCCAAACCCTCTATGTTTAAATTATATTCTGATTTTTTGAAAAATGGTAGAACCTGTAAAGAAATAACTTATATATCCCATATAATTATTTAAAACTCTTTTAGATTATGATAAAGTTTTATAATGTTTGTAAAAGTACATAGTTTCTATGTTATGTATAGGCGCAGATCATATACTAGGTATAGGTATATAGAGATTAATGTACTTATACAGGGTCATTTTTAATTTACTGAAAAGTGAAAACCTTTTGGGAATGTACTATTTACATCATAACAACAGCATCTGTAACAAGAATAAATAAATATTTCTTAAATTTTTATTTTCACACAAAAATAAAAATATTTTTATTGCACCTTCTAAACGGTAAAGTTCAAGGCATCTGACCAAGTTTAAACGAGTAAGAGCCGCTTCCTACACCCCTCCACCCCTCCCCCTCCACCGGATACGCACTTTCTTTTGCTAATGCTGGACTATTACCGTTTAGAAGGTGTATTGCACCTATTATATAATATTCTTATTTTTGTAAAAATTAAGAAATATTTTTTTTCTCACAGATGTTGTTGTTATGGTGTAAATAATATATTCCCAAAAGGTTTTCAGTAAATTAAAAATGACCCTGTATATCAAAAAATCGTTTTTAAGCTTTTACTAATTAAGTACTCATAATTATAATTTACATTTACCGAGCTTAAGTAACAAATAGTTTCTAAAGTACATATTAAATTATCACGTAACGATCGATCGAACACGATCAATTCTTTTGTGTACTTATAGGGTCACTTGGATGGTTCCTTATCTGTAGTTAGACCTGGTGGTGGCTCTGTTGCTGAGATCCATTTTATTTTTATTTTCCTACAGTCTATTAGATCAGCAAGTACTCTATATTTTTTCTGACAAAAATATCGAAACATTAACAAAGCAATGCTAATAACTATGAATATTATGTGATCTGCGGTAATACTAACATCCTCGTAGCTCCACCCCGGGTTGCCCATCGCCGCCCAGCCATCGTAGTCCACTCTATTTCCCCTGATGTAAGCTAATGAGTTGATAGAACTTGAGCCGCCCATCATTTTACCTCTATAATTTAAGCAAATTACTGAATTAGTATGTAAGAACATGAGCTTTGTGGGATTTTTTTTATAGAAATGAAATATTAACATAATATAACAGAAATAAAAAAATGAAATAGAACATACGTAGAATTTTAACTTATAATTAGGTATTTTTTATCAATAGTTTCTCAATTTTTAATATTTTATGAACAAATAAAATTATTTATCATCATAATTGTTATATTAGTTATTGTTACTTAGTTTGTAGATTACATCTATACTTAATATTATAAAGAGGCAAAGTTTGTGAGTTTGTGACGTTGTAGGGGGTAATCTCTGGATCTACTGCACCGATTTAGATGGTATGAAGATAGTTTGAGACCCTAGGAAGGACAAAAAATACTTTTTATCTCGGAAATCATACCTTAAGAGGGTGAAAATGGGGATGAAAATTTGTATGGGGTATTAATTAATTATTATTATAATTTTATAAGTAATTTAATACTATAATTAAAATACATGGTAGAAATAATGCTTAATATGTTCATTTTAACACATGAAAATAATATTGACATAAATAAGTAAATAATATGAAGCTTCTATTGATAGATTTCTTCGTTTGTAAAAAGTGTAATATAGAGTGCAAAATCAGTATGAAAAATTTAGGTTCACTACATACTACAAATTGAAGTTCCCCGCAGCATCCGAGTTGTGTACTTTTGTTCGAGCTGATCTCGGAAACTACTGTACGGACATTCATACGGTTTTCGCCATTATAACTTATGAACATTTTGCGAAAATAAGCTACGTTGAGATGATTTTTGTAAATTAAGTAGGAAAATATCGTCTTTTGTGGATGGAACCTTATCCATGCGAAGTGAGAGTAGGCAACTAGTAACTATAAATAACATCAAACTTTTTGTAATACTATCTGATTTACAACGTTGGGAAATGCATTTACGCATTCTACCTGCATACATACGAGTGGTTATATGGGATTCACCGGCTAGAATAACCTAACAGAAACTTCCCAATCTTAATAGCAAGCCGCAGGATCGCTTATGCGCACAACGACGACGGTAGTCCTGCGGAAGTAGACCATACAGCAAGGGTTTGTTCACTCGGTTCAGTCTGCTGTCAGAAAAGTACCAAGAGCAACCCGCATGGCATACCGCCCACCGAAGTGGGCCACCTCCCTGTGTGTCTCTTGGCTTCGGTCCGGCTGGATTGCCGGACGTTAATGAGCCATTGACGAGGTGAACGCACATGTTGGTCTTATCTTTATCTGAATTACCTAGGCCAAGGACATCTTCCCCCGGGATGGGCAAGGCAACTTTTCCCATTAGGTTCAGTAGTATATCGCCAGTCTATGCTGGACCCTAGTAACGCAGTAGACAGACCCGGCGGGATGGTCACATCTGGTTGCTCACCACCTGCTTCTAGAAGAAGTACCTGGAAAAATGTTTTAATTATTATATGTAGTCAGACAACTATTATAAATCTGAAAGTTAGTATGACTGTGTGTGTGTGTACGAGAGAGAGAGAGAGAGAGAGAGAGAGATGTGTGTTCTATATGAGAGTCTATGAGTCGACGAGATGATTATTTTTGTTTCTTATATATGTACATTAAAAGTAAAGTAATTCATGAACAATTACGTTTTAGATATATCGTGAGCGGGGCAAATTAAGTACATTAGTAAATAATTGTTCATATTATAAGGGCCAAGTGTACATAAAATTGCATGCATTGGGCAGGAAACCACTCCGTCTATAATGTTTTAATTTATCATTATTCGTAAGCTATTTACAAAACTAATCATATAATTTGTTATGTAAAGAACAAACAATGTCGAAAAATTGAGGTAAGAATGAACGAAATATAATGAAAATAACGATATTCTATGTCAATGTTACTATGTCTAACATCGTTACTAAGATAATATTGATATTTGTACCTTTAAATTACTTAGGTGTTACTATTTACTTCTGACAATGTCCCTTGGGTGGCAACCAGTAAGAAGAGTGCTTAGCGCTACGATCTCTACATACTATAAGTCTAAAGATTTCATTGTCTTTCAATTCTATCTCTTTTATTCATCGATCAAAAAAGTACTGGATACACAATCAGCGACAAAGAAATGTCTTCACCGAATGAGCGCTCATTAGGACATTTGAGCGCGCTTTAAATATATTATTTTTCGTTCGTTTTGTCATGTCGCGGCGCATTATATACACTAGCATTGCCCGCGGCTCCGCCCGCGTTTAGAAAACCAAAACCAAATTCTCAGGTTTTACATATTAGTATACTCTTACAATGCACTTTTTGTATTAAAAAAAAGTGGTAAAAAGTATCCTATATGTTGACCCGGATAACCAACTATCGTCATACCAAATGTTATCAAAGTCTGTCCAGTGGTTTTTTCGTGATGCGGTAACAGACAGACAGACAGACAAACAGACAGACAGACAGACAGACAGACAGACAGACAGACAGACAAAAGTTCTAAAAACCATAGATTCGGACTCTGTATCGATAATAATGTCTATTTCAATTAGATTTTCCAAAAAAAATTTAATGTTAAGATTCGACTTAGTTACAATTTTATTATATGTATAGATTTGTCAAAACCGTGTTTTTTTTATTGAAACAAATATGCAAAATTAATTATTAGTCATCAGTCGTAATCTATAAATAGACAAAACTTCATCTCCTTTGTTTACCAACTGGAGGTCAATTCTGAAAGAACATTTAAACAATTCGACATATTCGAATATACTTCATATACATAGTTGAATGAAATGTAAATGCGGATTCAGCTGTAGTATTACATGAAAGTTTTTTCAGGACTCTTGTTTTGAAATATTGTTTTTGACTAAAATATTAAAAATAATAATTAGTTATTATTATAAAATTGGTCATTTTTTGATATTATTAATATGATGGGAACTTACCTTCCACTCAGGGTTTTCCGTTAGTCGATTGGTCACCACACAACCCGCCGCTCCGGCACCTACCACTATAAAGTCGTATTCCTTCGGTTTCTCCTCATCTCTTTGCTCTTGACATTTTCTCTGAATGCTCTCGTCTTTGGAACCTCCGTATAGATGGACCAGGAGGCTGAGATATACGTATCCGAAATGAGAGCAAGCACTGACCGGTGCGTTGGGAGGACAAGCTTCGGACAGATTTAGTGGCTGCCAGATCATGATTTCTTTCTATCTTTAAAACAATATTACAATATACAAGTTTATACAAATAGTTTTCTTATACAAGAAGAACCCACTCATAACTTTTCGCGATGAAATCGAATTATTTGTTTTTATTGGACTAAAATATCTAAATGATCTTAGTAAATTACCACGCTGCCGTATTAGAGCCTTATTTTTTTTAAAATAAAAAACCTAATATTATAAGTTTTATAAACACACAATAAGGATATTCGCACACGTACCATATGCTGCTGCCGCCTATTGCCGACTGCACCGCGTGTGTGCTACAGGCAGGGTATTTAAAAAGTGATAATCAGTAATTTCTAGTTTCCGTTACTTTATTAGGGTCTTAAGATATATTTTTTATTTAGTACTTTTGATGTATTTTATTATTTTGTACATATTTAGTTCATTGAACTAGCGGTTTTTATCATAGGTAAAAAAAACTTTGTTTGGAAGCGAGGTAACACATGCTATAGAATAGACACAAAATATATAATTATTAAATTATTATTTTTATTTTATTTCAGAAAAACGTTTAATATATAGTTTTCTTTATAATCTGAAGAAAATATAGGATCGAATTCGATCGAGCCCAAACTTTATTTACGCCATTGATATCTTTTTGGGTGGATATGTGGATGAAATATGCTCTTTGATTTCGCTCTAAAAGCCTTATTTATTTACATTATCTACAAAATATTTTTTTTAATACTTTGATATCAATATAATTAATTATTGTTACTCAATTGAGTGAGCAAATAAATGAGAGTTACAATGTAGGTATGGAGGGATCGCGTTGTGACAGCTCAATAAAAGTATGGATATTTATCGGAGACTAGCGACTTATTTATTTATTATCCCTAGCTTGATTCCCCATACAAACTTTCATCCCCATTTTCACCCACTTAAGGGATGATTTCCGGAATAAAAGTATCCTATGTCCTTCCCAGCGTCTCAAACTAATCTTCTTACCAAATTCCATGTAAATCGTTTCAGTAGATCCAAAGATTACCCCCGACAACGTCACAAACTCACAATCTCACAAACTTTACCTTTTTATAATATTAGTAGATATAGACGAACGGCTCACTCTCGCTTCGATCGGGTTCGTCCCTAAGTGCGTTTTAACGGTTAGTATGGAATAGATAGTCGATCCCTTGCTCTCTGAAAAACAAAAAAAAATCTATCCCACCGTACATTTTTATGGGATAAAAAGTAACCTATGTGCTATTCCAGACTATAATCTATCTGTGTGCCAAATTTCATCCAGATCCGTTCAGCCGTTCTGGCGTGATTGAGTAACAAACTTAGAGTTTACATAATATTCTATAGCATAGCACTTAGGTAATTCTAAGGTAACAAACATCCATCCATCCAATCTTTCGTATTACAATATTTATATTTATGGAATTTTGTTATTATAGCAGCTTTCAATATTAAAAAAAACTTTAACAAAAAATATTTAGGTATTAAGTAAGTAAGTGCCAACGAAAAATATTAGAAAAGTTGAAACGTGTAACCCTATTTGCAATTTATCTATTGTTGTGTTCCTTTGTATGCACCTACACGCCAATTAGTACATTTTAATTGTTTCTAAGTATTTGTTTGAAGTAACAAAAATGTTAGGTTTTCACTGTTGAATAATAGAAGCTTATAAATATATAATATGTAGAGCCGTAGAGTAAGAGAGCAAAAATAGTAATTTTTTTTTAATTTATTTATGTGGATGTTAAATTTAAATGCTAAAGAAAACTTGAATAAAAAAAAATTAAAAGATTATAGAGAACTAGATAGAGTCGAATTTTCCCGTTTTAAATTTTCATTCTCATATATTAACTAATGCCAATTATGACGTCTCGAAAGTTGCTATTAAATAAGTCATAAAGAAGTGCAATTTAGCCGACATTTTAGCTGATTTTTTTCGATGTCGATATCCATTCTTACACATTATTACATGCAAAACGAAAACTATGAAAATCTATACATATAATAAAATTGTAACTAAGCCGAATCTGTACATTAAATATTTTTTGGAAAATCTTATTGAGATAGACTTTCTTATCGATACAGAGGCCGAATCTATAGTTTTTAGAATTTTTGTCTGTCTGCTTGTCTGTCTATCTGTTACCGCATCACGGAAAAACCACTGGAGGGATTTTGATAAAATTTGATATGATGATAGCTGGTTATCCGGGTCAACATATAGGATACTTTTTACCGCGGGAAAATATCTCATTTCTGAAAAAAATACAAAGACTGCCACGTAAGAGTATATTAATATGTAAAACCTAAGAATTTGGCTTTTGGTCATCTGAACGCGGGCGGAGCCGCAAGCAATGCTAGTGTGCTATAATGTAAGGAAAATTCTTATACAAAATGGAAAATAACTAAACTGGGAGAATAATCAAATTTAGTCATCTATGATTATTATTTATTATTTACTACAAATTGTTTAAATATGTAATACAAAATTTAACTGAAAACAATGATATTTCTTTCCTACTAATGAACTAGTGGCGCCATCTGAGCTTCGTTTCCCAAAACCTTCTATTTAGGTTCGTAGTAATTTATATGTAAGTAGATGGCGCCACTTCACATATTTGTAGATAAAAAAGTAATACATAGACCAATTATCCATACCATACAATATACATACATACATACATACATAACCATCTAGCCACTCATACCCTCGCTTCTCTTTCTTTAGGTACGTTAAAATTTTTTAATACTTTTTCTAAAATAAACGTAGTCTATTGTACTCCTTATAGTATCAGCTATCTGCCATTAAAATCCCCATCAAAATCAGTTCAGCCGTTTCGGAGATTAGCCGGAACAAACAGACAAATAAAAAATTAAAAAAATGTGTTTTTCTTATAAGTACCGTATATAATCTCACACGCATTTAGTGAAAAGCTGTTATTTTGATATTACATACAGACACTTTAATTTAATTTATCTGTATAGATAGTATTATAGGAAGATATTGTTGGAACCAGGAGTTTGGATAACAGCTACTAGTAAGTAGTTTCTAAGCAATCATTTCCAGTTCATTTTATATATATTTAAGGTCTAATTTCATTTAAGCATTAACTAATTACGATATTAATGAAAAAAGTTTAATCTAACTATTTTATTAAATGAAAATTATTGCAAGCTAACTCAGATTTTATACATATATATATATATATATATATATATATATATATATATATATATATATATATATATATATATACGTACAAGTGAATAGTTTCTAATTTAATAATACGCGTGTAATTATTTATATAGAATTTCTTTTATTTATATATTATTTCATTGAGCTGTCTAGTAGATAGTAAAGTCTACATTTTGAAGTTCCATTATAAACGGATCATTTCATAGGTAACAATAAATGTTAGGCTTATCTGACACTAATATACTCATTAATATTACTTGTACATGTTAAAAAAAGTGGTATCTAGTTCCTTAGATAACGTCGAACATGTTGATAATGAACAAAATAGTATGTTATGTAGTTATCAAAAATTTTAAACCTGTCTTTGATACTATAGTATAGTATAGTGACAGTTGATGAATGCAACAATCGTGTATCTCTTTCCAGCCTTAGCAATAAGAAAAGGACATAATGAGAATAAATAACTGTAAAAGTTATAAATAGAATAATGTAGAGACACGCCTTACACAAATTTACATTTCTCTACAACGGGGATATAGCTCAGTGGTAGAGCATTCGACTGCAGATCGAGAGGTCCCCGGTTCAAACCCGGGTGTCCCCTTGAAACTCTTTTTATTTATTTAAATCCATATTTATTAACTTTATATCATGAACGAAGTTATTTATAAATTTTAAATCGAAAATACAAAGAAATAAAATATCTTCCATGTTATCTATCTTTCTCTTTCTCTATATAATAAATTTTATAAAAGTCGCGATACATATTATATTAAAAAAATGCATGAAATACAAAAAAAACATAGAAATACTAATATTTCTAAAACATTCAATTTTCTATGCGGCAATTACTAAATAATAATAAATATTATTATTATAGTATTAAAATATTACAAGTACAAAGCAATATTAACAGTATTTTGTGTTTTTTGTTATTGTTTTTAATTAAGATTTTTTATTTTATACTTCCTAATGGTTTAATGTTTTTAATTGTTAGACTTGTTTAGTTTGAAGTTGGTTTATTTTTTTATTAATTGTCATAAATTTACAAACTGTTTATTTGCTTTTGGTCCTTGGGCTTTCAATTTATTAACATTTTTTCTACTTTTCTCATTTTTCATAGATACTCCATTAGTTTCTTAAATATTTGGTTTTATACATTTTTAGGTTTTCTAGTATTTTATTTGATTGTTATTTGTAATTTCGTGAGGAAATATAATATTTCATACTTTTACAGTTGTGAAATAAAAAGAAAAAAATAATTCAGAGGATCTTCATAATATTCTAAAGGTTCTAATAATTGACTTGTTATTTCAACAAGTTCTTACGTAGCAGTCGTGGCCGAGTGGTTAAGGCGTCTGACTCGAAATCAGATTCCCTCTGGGAGCGTAGGTTCGAATCCTACCGGCTGCGAAATCTTTTTCACAATCATATTATGGTTATCTCATATTTTCATTCATAAACATTAGTCAATATTTCTTTGTAAAAAAAACTTTTTAACAAAAAATAAAAACCGACTTGCAGGCACTAAAATGTAAAACATAACTAAACGGAGGTTTTCATTTAGAATAGATACTTAATCAGATATTTTTGAAGTCGGTGCCAGCCGATGCAAAGCAAATCTAATATATTTCGATAGGTACGTTAAATACATAATATTTACCTATTAGATATACATATCTTAAATATTGTGGCTGGCACCGACTTTCGAATATTCCGACGAATTGAGAACCTCCTCCTTTTTGGAATTGGAAGTCGGTTAAAAAATTAAACAAAATCATAAAAAAAACTTGTCTATTATTCATTATAGAATTTTTGTATATCATATATACTGTTTTAATAGAGATGAGATGCTTTTGATCTCTTAATTGTAAGTACATATATATAATACAGGTTTAATCTAAATCTATGGGATATTGTAGTTTTTATCATATTAAGGATACGCAAAGAAAAATAGAATTAATAATACCTATACCACAAATCAAATAAAACTATACTAGTACCTATATTAATTTAAACATAAATTACTAAACTATATAGAAATATAATCATATTTCTTTTTAATTT